GGATAAATCATAATTCATCATATTCTGTGTCTTAATTAATAATATTTTATTTCATTGATAACAATAATAATATGATACATTATGTTAAAAATACAAAATTTAAATATGCAGTGAAATTTCGAAAAAGTCGAATATGCATAAATACTTTTAATAATGTGTAATATCCGGACACTAGAATTTTCTCCTAATTTTTKCTATACCTATTAAAATCTACGTTTAACCGTTTCTTGCCCACATAACTTGTCAGTATTTTAGGATTTCTCGGTGGATTATACCAGTTGTTCGTCGTGTCCGGCATCCTGTACTCGTACGTGCTCGGCAACTTTTTAAATTACACGCAACTCAACTTGGCGTGTGGCTTGTGGATGGCGGTCCACATACTGGGAGTGCTGTACATACCGGAATCGCCGTATTTTCTGATTCAAGAAAACAGAAGAGTCGACGCCGAAGAGGCTATAGCCCGGATTCGGGACCCCAGTCACAACTGCAAGACCGAGCTCGATGAGATACAGGTAAGACCAGTAATCGTATTACATAGCATAACATAATATTAAGTTATTTTCACTTGTATTTGGCCGACCGTACACATATTATTATGTGCTTAATTCTGACGAACGTTAACGGTCACAAAATGAGTGCGATGTTTATGTGACAATTATTATATGTCACGACTACCGGCAGAAATTCGTCGAAGAAGAGCAAAAGAACAGTTACACTGCGCGTGAAGTGCTCGAGAGGGACGTGAACCGAAGGGCTCTGACGATCGGCATCGGTTGCATGTTCTTCCAGCAGATGACCGGCATTAATGCCATCATATTCTATATGAAACACGTGTTCGAGATTTCGGGAAGCGACATCAGTCCCGAAGTGTGCACTACCGTCGTCGGCACGATACAGGTATCCGATACATAATAATATTATCATAGTACAATATAAATTACAAATATTTTACAACTAAAGCTGACGATTCCGTACTCTCATCCATTCTGCTCGCTACACCTATTCCTACTCTACTACTACAGTTTCCATCGCTACGTATTTTTTGATCAAATGTACTTGATATTATGGTCTCTGTAAATGATTTTTTTTTTTCAATCTACGTGTAGAAAATGAGATAAGATTATTAGTTTTTCGACTATATTTTTTCAGGCCAATAYTGCAGATATCAAACACTATGCGTAAAATAATAAGTTAAATCGAAAAACAACATGGTTTATACTGTTTATAGTTAGATGTATATTTATTAACTAAAACAATCGTTGGAATATTAATAATAATACTGCTTTTGTTCTGTGTGTCAGACGGCGTATTGTGTAGGCAATTTAAGTACATGGATGTTTTGAACTGTGAAACGTATTGTGA